ACTTCCTTTTTGTCTAGTCGTCTTTTGCTTTCCGGATTTATCTGTCTTTTGCACAGTTTTTCATTCTAGCTCACAAACTCCCTTAGTACAGTTGTTTTTCTACTGTTGGATAGTGCTTGGAACACCTTTCATCTTTCAACACTTCTCAGTTGTTATTGGTGTATTGGGGTCTGCTAGCTCTTGCTAGCATTAGCTTAGCATGGCTGCTCCTTCTCTCCCTGCTTCCTCTGTTTTCGCTTGCTCCGTGTATCAGATGTTTATCTACTCCTCCACCTTCTTTAGTAGTAATGATACATGTAACAAATGTAGTCTTATGGTAGCTTTGGAGGAGAGGCTGTCTGAAATGGAAGCTCGGCTCCGTGCTGTAGAAAACCCAGTAGCTAGCCAGGCCCCCTTAGACAGCGCAGAACCACAGAGACTAGCCTCCGTTAGCAGTCCTCCAGCAGATATCGAGCAGCCGGGACCCCAGGCCGGCTGGATGACGATCTGGAATAATCATAGTACTAATGCTAAGCCCCCAGTTCACCACCGACCCGTTCACATTTCTAATCGATTTTCCCCACTCAGTGACACACCCACTGAGAAGCAGCCCCTGGTTATTGGCAGCTCCATAGTCCGAAATGTGGCTTTAGGGACTCCAGCGGCAGGGCCGGCCCAAGCCTCCATGGGGCCCTAAGCGAAAATTGGTTTGGGGCCCTCTATTTCTGCTAATAATGTGAATTACTGCAATCAACAGTCAGATCATTCACCCACCTAACATAGACTGTTATATAATATAGTATTGATAAAACGACCTATTAACAAACTGGTAAAATATAACTGTCTCTATATTTGATGACTAATTTTAAAAATTAAATATTTTATATTAGATTAATTTGGCATTATAAACATAAAAACTGATTTGAATGACTGATAAAGTAGTATTGAAGCACACAACTGTTATCTTGAAGTTCTGTCTCTGTGGCCCTCTAGGGTGTTGAGAGCCACAGAAATAGTTACGGCAGGCCGGATTTGGCCCACGGGCCTTGAGTTTGACACATGATCAAGTGGTACTAAAAGTAACAAAAGAAGAAGAAAAAAATAACCAAAATATATCTGTAGTTTAGCTAACAGACTTTGGAATGTGTACATTTTGTCCTTGTTAAACCTGCTGAAGAGAAACAAACTAATAACTCAGAAACTCAAAAAAACTTTATCCATAAAATTACAAATATCACTCAACTTTGCAACATATATCACTAAATGGGGTGAAAGGACAATTAGATATTCTTCCTCAAACAAAATCATCTAATGCTTCCTTTTCAGAATGGTCAAGGGAAAATATGTTACTAAATAATACATTTAGCATTATTTCAATAGGAATTGTGGTCAGTTTTCATTCATTAATTTATTCATTCAAGTTTTATTTATACAGATTAATCACATTGAGCCTTGGAGACTCATTTACATGTGAGACCTGTTTTAGACAGTTCCATAACTTTCATACATATGGGTGGAGAAGGTTCAGCCCCTTGGCTTGAAAAACAAACACTGCAGTACAAATCCAACTGCTCTCCAGTTTTCCAACACAGTGACACTGGCCGTCTCTAAACTTAGGCTGTTGTGCAACTGGAATCTCTGAACACAAACCTCATAAAGATAAATAAATGTCTTGGTTGTAGAAGAACCAATGGAAAAATAAAATCAAGTGAGTTAAGTCGAATTCAACTGCTGCAAAGCTGGTACTCAGCCTATAAACCTTTTGGGACATCTTTTTCCCACTAAGCTCCATCATGACTTTTTGAATGAATTCAAGAGTGTCCCGTAGATTTTTGGATATTTTAGATTGAGTATATGAGCCTGAAGAACATGACAACAGCTGTTGTAACAGAAGACAGTTCATTCAGGATCTGTATTCCATCGATGATTATCTTGATGTATTTTGGTGGAAGGAAAGGATCCTCTCCCAGTGACAAAGATCACCATGGTTGCCAGATGCAGTTGGTCATTCTCCTGCAAATCTTGTAAACACACCAAAAATAAAGAAATGAGGGCAACTAAAAGAGTAAAAGAGTTCAGAGAACTACCAAAGCGCAACAGTCTAAACAGTCTCTCTACTTTCTGAAACACTGGACAGTTTATCGGCTATATTACAACAATAAGAGTTCTCAGTTAAAATGAATGTAGGTGCTACAATCAATCAATCAATCAATCAATCAATCAATCAATCAATCAATCAATCAATCAATCAATCAATCAATCAATCAATCAATCAATCAAAAACTTTATTTCAGACACACATGGTCCATACTAGTAAACAAAAACAGGCAAAAAAAAAATATAACACCAACAAAACACAATAAAAATAGAATGTTCATCCATTGCCATATAAACTAAGGCGCCAGTGATTCCACAGACTAGAAGAGAACCTAACCGAGCTTTGTATGGGGTTGGCCAGAGTATAAATGATGCTATTTACAGAGATTGTTAGCCTACACATACATCTGTACATAAGGTTTTGAAGATTTGGTGCTATATAAATAAACTGAATTAAATTAAATTAAATATGAGTATTTCTGATCAGTGCCCTGAGACGACTTCTTTTGTGACTTGGCACTATATAAACTGAATTAAATCTGATGAACCAGATCCTACAAAAACATTTATATTTAAAATTCCATATTTTTCTTCATCATTTGATGTATTTGCTCTCATTGTGCCTACTTTTATTGTTCTTTTTTTATGTATGTGTTTTTTTCTTGTATACAGATTTTATTTTAGTGATTTAAGTGATGATCAGTGATCATTGTTATTTCTCACCTTACTGACTGTCTATAAAATAAGAAAGAACAAGTTGGCAATCCTCATTTGAAGAGACAGGAACAATCAAGCAGTGAACAAACAGTGATTTAAAGTGCAATTCTTGTTTTGTGATTTGTACATCTGTGGGTTAGAATAAAGTTGAACCAAGGGCGCTTCTTTAAACATGTTTGAGGGAAATATTCCTGAGAGATTCAATAATTTTGTCTTTTTATGATTTTCCAGCTGAGCTAACTTTAATTAACAGGTTATTTAATAAAGTCAAAGTGAACACAGGATTTCATGTTAAAGCCGGCACGGTTTATTTCTTTTTATTCTTCACTGATTAAAAAAAACATTTTTTATACATAAAATGTTTTTTTTTAAAAACACACACAAAAAAAAAACGTTTGCACCCTCTGTACCAGTCTTCTCGCGTGCCAGGGCTTGGAATCCTGCCTTTTTGCGCACGTGAGGCTGGGGCCCAGGGTCCAGCCTTGCATGCTTTAACAGGTCAGCAGCTCGTATGATCCTCCACGGTGACTCCGCTCGCTTGAATTTTGTCGTTGGTCACCAAACATAAAAAACGCATGGACTTCAGCATTAAACACATTAAACACACATTAAACACAAAATCTTAAAAATAGACCCAGCCGCTGCTCCGCGTTCCGAGAAATTGCAAATGGAGGATCGGTGAAAATTTTCTGAGATCTAGTGACTCCTTTTCCTGCCCAATCAGTGTCCTGCATTCACGTTTCTGTCCCGACTCAGCTCGCACGGTCCCACCAGAGAAGCAGGGACAAAACAAGGTCCTGAATCAGCCTTGAATCAGTAAAAAGTACTGTAGATTAGCAATTTTTCCATGAAGGGCTGAGTGGAGTTGGGGCTGAGTAGGAGCAAAGCAAAAGCCCCTTAAGAGGTACTATAGAAAAGGGGCTTTAGTCAGAGTAGTTTTCCACATCTAACTACAGTCAAGGGATGAGAGCACACACCAATTATAAGATTATGTATTGACATTCGTATATTTGAGAGGTTACTAAAAATGTAGAGTCATCCCAGTTAGGAGCATATACTGAAACCAAGACCACTGGCAATGTGTACAATTCCCCCACCACTACAACATACCGCCTAGCATTATCAGCGTGCACACTCGAGACTGTAAATTGTACCTGTTTACTTTAATTTACTATAATAGCTACCCCCTTGACTTGAATTGGAAATTAGACTGTAACACCTGACCAGACCTTTTTTTTTTCACAATTTTTCCACTATCTGCAGAGCAAACATGGTACAACAACTTGTAAAAAGGTGATATCAGTATTCAGTTGTTTTAGTTGTGACATAATCTTTCAGAATTTTACTGGACCATTAAGAGATTTTACTTTCCAGCTAACACATTTAACTAGGCAGCCACCTGAGTGGGCAACATTCTTAACGTTGGTCCTAAATGAACATCCAAAAAATTATTACATACAGAACATCACAAGCCAATACCTGGTAACGAAAACAGAAAATCCCAAAAGACTGATCTGATTTGAATCCACCCCTCTCTCCTTCCCAAACACGGAGAGAACGAAAAACTCTATCAACTGAAAATCCACACATTAGTGCTTACCTAGAGAACACAATCCAACCATCTGGACTCCCATCCACCCATATGTAATATGATAGTAATAAAATAAAAATAAAAATAAAAAACAACAAAAAAGCAAACAACAATTAAAAAATATAAAAATTACAAATGCTACTTCAAGTATCAAATTTGTACAACTATCATATCAGAGCATTAACTCTGTAGAGTCACTAGAAGGAAAAAACGAAAGGGAAAAAACACTCCTGTCATGGGGGTACACTGCATTCTAAAACTTACGGTAATCAGTTCAAAACATAAACACTGTGGACTTACCCCATTGCAAATAAAATGTCATACATACCACCACCAGAGGATCACAGCCAACAATTTGAGTCCAGAACAGGTTCAACAAAAGTTGTTGATTTAAAAAATAAAGGCTGGTCCTCAGGTTTATTTGGATTATTTTTTATCTGTTTCCATCCCCGCTGCTTGCAGCTGGAGCAAAATTTCCTTTGATGTACTCCATCACTTTTTGGGGTGTCGACAAAAACCCTAGCCTTCCCTCCATATGTGACACGGAGTCTCTTTGGGAAAAGGAGGCCATATTTAACCCCCGACTAGTTCCGCAGGAGCCACTTCGTCTCGGTGAATGCCGCACCTGATCTCGCCACCTGTGGTGAGTAGTCAGCTGAGATGATCATGGCCGACCCTTTGAAGTTTATCTGACCGCCGCTGCGTGCTCACTGCAGAATCTCCACACGTTCCTGATGGTAGTGGAGCCTTGCCACGACCACATCGGGTCTCCCATTTGACTCGCTCCTGACCGGTGTCCGGTACACAAAGTCAATCTGTGGTGGTTTATCAAGTTTTAGGACTTCCGTTAGCATGTTAACAATCACAGAGGGTGAACACTCACCCACCAACTTGTGAAGTCTAACAATCCTAATGTTATCACGTTTGGTTTGCCCCTTTACAGCTTTGGACTGTTTTTAGCCCAGCAATTTCAGTCCTCAGCTCCACCACCATTGCATGCAGCTTTTCCAATTCGTCTGAGTGGGAAGACAAGCAATTTTTTAGCTCCAAATTAACAGATCCAGCTCGGTTTATCTCCGCTCTGAGAGGTGCGGTGGTGTTCGTCAGCTAAGTCCAAACCACCAGTAATTTGCTTTTTATAAAGTCAAAATCTTCAGTCAGAGCTGCCCTCAGTTCTTTTTTAATCATTGATACAACATCGGCTCTCATTGAGGCCAAGAGGTCTGATCTTAAAGCCGAGTGGTCTCTCCCTCTAGCGCCCAGTGACGTAGCTGCCTCTCCAGCATCTCTCGCACGGAAATCCAAAGCGCTATCATTAGCGATAGCATTAGCAATAGGCTGCGGTGGAGACGAAGACAAAACTTTAGATTTTTTTCTGCTTAGAAACCATATTACCAGCTTGTTGTTTCAGTACTGTGGCAATATCAGTCTCTGAAAAAGAATCCAGTCCAAAGGTAGTGAGAGTGCAGTTATAAAATTAGTTTTCCATCAGGCCCGACAGGAGCTATTCGAGACACAGCCTACTCCATCAGTGCCATCTTGAGTCTCCTAACAAGTACTTTTAAAGATCCAAAAAAGTTCAATCTGGTCCTCTGGACATTAAAAAAAAAAAAAAGCAAAATATCTAGAAACGTTTCGTCTCTCATCCAAGAGACTTCCTCAGTCTGAGGTGCTGTTTTCAGCTCAGTCTCTTAAATAGCACCTTCTCAGAGTGGATC